TGCACAAGGAATACAAGACAGGTTTATATAGAGCCAATCTATGTTGGTCTATAATAAAGACAATAAATGTGAAAGAGAAGAAAGAAGGGGAAGAGGATTGAGGAGCTCTATGATACCATAATAGAATTGTGTGAGAGAGAGAGAGAGAGAGCGGAAGAGAGAAGATGAGAGAATGTTTCGATAAGCAAAATATGTTTTCACCAACTGCACAAGGAATACAAGACAGGTTTATATAGAGCCAATCTATGTTGGTCTATAATAAAGACAATAAATGTGAAAGAGAAGAAAGAAGGGGAAGAGGATTGAGGAGCTCTATGATACCATAATAGAATTGTGTGAGAGAGAGAGAGAGAGAGCGGAAGAGAGAAGATGAGAGAATGTTTCGATAAGCAAAATATGTTTTCACCAACTGCACAAGGAATACAAGACAGGTTTATATAGAGCCAATCTATGTTGGTCTATAATAAAGACAATAAATGTGAAAGAGAAGAAAGAAGGGGAAGAGGATTGAGGAGCTCTATGATACCATAATAGAATTGTGTGAGAGAGAGAGAGAGAGAGCGGAAGAGAGAAGATGAGAGAATGTTTCGATAAGCAAAATATGTTTTCACCAACTGCACAAGGAATACAAGACAGGTTTATATAGAGCCAATCTATGTTGGTCTATAATAAAGACAATAAATGTGAAAGAGAAGAAAGAAGGGGAAGAGGATTGAGGAGCTCTATGATACCATAATAGAATTGTGTGAGAGAGAGAGAGAGAGAGCGGAAGAGAGAAGATGAGAGAATGTTTCGATAAGCAAAATATGTTTTCACCAACTGCACAAGGAATACAAGACAGGTTTATATAGAGCCAATCTATGTTGGTCTATAATAAAGACAATAAATGTGAAAGAGAAGAAAGAAGGGGAAGAGGATTGAGGAGCTCTATGATACCATAATAGAATTGTGTGAGAGAGAGAGAGAGAGAGCGGAAGAGAGAAGATGAGAGAATGTTTCGATAAGCAAAATATGTTTTCACCAACTGCACAAGGAATACAAGACAGGTTTATATAGAGCCAATCTATGTTGGTCTATAATAAAGACAATAAATGTGAAAGAGAAGAAAGAAGGGGAAGAGGATTGAGGAGCTCTATGATACCATAATAGAATTGTGTGAGAGAGAGAGAGAGAGAGCGGAAGAGAGAAGATGAGAGAATGTTTCGATAAGCAAAATATGTTTTCACCAACTGCACAAGGAATACAAGACAGGTTTATATAGAGCGGTGTTGATTTCATCTCAAAAGAGCCATTTTGAAAGTTAAAAATATTAAAATGAAAAACAAAGCTAATATTTACATTTGTATTTTGTAATATGTGGATAATAACAACTCATATAGTAATTAGGTATGGGTATACAAATGAGTCTGACTCGTAAAATTCGTGTTTTATATGGGCATGATATGTAATACCTTGTTTTTTAAAATACTATTATTATTATTATTATTATTATTATAATAATATAGTATTGGATCAATATTATTATTATTATAGAGAAAAAATATTTTATAATATTTATTTTATTTAATTATTTTGGGAAAAAGAGAAGTGAGTTAGAAGAGAAGGAAAATGGGTTAGGTTGACCTGGCCCAATGGATTAATTTTAAAATAAGGGTCAGGTAGAGTTAACCATATCTGCCTCATTTTTGTTCTCAAGGGTTAGGAAAGAAAAAGAGGAGAAACAAAAAGCTCTAAGGAGGAGCACCCAGGAAGAGATCAAGAACGACTTTCATTACATCAAGAGTATTCTGATTAACGTAACCAGGTATGGGGAGAAAAGGAGAGATTTATGTGTAGAGTCACATGAGGGAATGGGTGGAGAAGAGTTCTTGTGAAATTTTTAATAATTTTATAATTGTTTCTGTTTGGAGAATTATTGGTATTATGAGATTCTATATGTGTTTAAATTATGAATATATGAAGAATTGTTAAAATTGATGTTTTACAACATGTGATATTTGGTTGAATCATTGAATTATTGAACAGATTAAAAGTTTATTATTAATAAAACCTCTGAAATCTGCAATTGGGGGGATGGATTCAAGGGATCGCAGGTTGAATTTTCTGAGTTTCAGATGTGGTGGCCCGCTGTCATCAAACAGCTGAGCTGTTTGAAAGGACTAAGCCCTTTGAGGGCCATGTGACAGAGAAGGATCCCTGGAGACAAAGGGTTGAGCCATTGGAAAGGAATGAACACTTTGAAAGGGCTGAGCGCTTTTGAAGGGCTGAGCCCTTTAGGGGCCGCGTGGTAGAGGAGAATTCTTGGAGGTAAAGCGCTGAGTGCTTTGGAAGGCGCTGACCGGTTTAGTGCTTTTCGAAATAGACTTTGATTTCTTCATAAGAGTTGTAGCCTTGGACGTTATCTTTCCAATGGTGGCGTTGGAATCGCCTAAAAAGGAGGTCTAGAATTCCAGTTATGGCTATTTTAATAAATAGGGGTCAAGTTGTCAACATTGATTATATTTGTTGCGATTTTTGACATTTTTAGCTAAGTAGATGATATTGTATGAATTTCATGTCTTCATAAGAATTGTAGATTATTCTCTTATGTTTCTTTTGAGATATGTTTGAGATTATTTGGATGAGTATAACTCTCTGTGTATTATTTTCTTTGACAGTTGTCAAAGGGAGACATATGTTGTTTTGATGTTCTAAGGTGTTATCATGGGAATTGAAAAGTTGTTTAAAGTAGTATGATACTAGGTTGTAGAGTTAGTTCATATATGTATAACGATGAGATGTGGATTCATAGTGAATTTCTTGAGGGGCATGTGAAGCATTGTTTTGTGTGGGCTTATCTATATTGTGTATATGATGTGGAATTGAGTTATGGAATATAATGAGATGTCTTGGCACAAATGTATATATATTGTATCTACCATTTTAGTATTGAATTGATAACATGATGTGGCGAATGGTATGTTATGGCTTAATTGTTCAATTAATTATGATGTGAGTATGTTGGCAAGAAATGAGATGTTGTTTTGATGAGATGAGTATGTTGGCATGATATGAGATGAGTATAACTCTCTGTGTATTGTTTTCTTTGACAGTTTTCAAAGTGAGACATACGTTGTTTTGATGTTCTAAGGTGTTATCATGGGAATTGAAAAGTTGTAGAGTTAGTTCATATATGTATAATGATGAGATGTGGATTCATGGTGAATTGCTTGAGGGGCATGTGAAGCATTGCTTTGTGTGGGCTTATCTATATTGTTTATATGATGTGGAATTGAGTTATGGAATATGATGTGATGTCTTGGTACAAATGTATATATATTGTATCTATCATTTTAGTATTGAATTGATAGCATGATGTAGCGAATGGTATGTTATGGTTTAATTGTTCAATTAATTATGATGTGAGTATGTTGGCATGAAATGAGATGTTGTGTGGAATGTGAATGTGATGTGATTGTGGTTCCTCACACTTATGTCAGCGTGACACGACCTTGAGCAAGAGATGTTACAGGGTGGCGTGAGCATGAAATAGTGTGGGATGTGTGAGGCAATTAACACATATTTCGGTGTGACACGACCTTGGACAAGAGATACTACAGGGGTAGCATGAGCATGACATAGTGTTAATTGCAAGATTTGTGATGATTATGAATAAAATGTGATTGTGGTTCCTCCTCACACTTATGTCGGCGTGGCACGACCTTGGGCAAGAGATACTACAGGGGTGGCGTGAGCATGACATAGTGTTAATTGCAAGATTTGTGTGGAAATTCGTATTTATGTTGGCATGGCACGAGATGCTACAAAGGTTGCATGAGCTTAACATAATACAAATTATATGATGTGATGGATTGGTGTGATTGAGAATTGTGATGTAAAGATGATGCATGATTGATAAAATTATGATATGTAGAAATGGTTGTAAATATTTCATTATGTAATAAGTTATGATGAGATTATGTCGTGGCGTTTCCTTTTGTGTTTTACATATAGATGTTTTCTTTTCTCACCGTATAATTTGTAGATGTTTTAGGTAAGAAAGATTCTGGCATCCAAAATGCCAACATTTGAGTTATGAGTGTGCTATAATATTGTGACATTGTGGTAGAAGATTTCTAGGACATGAATTTTTATATGTATTTGGAGTTGTACTTATTATTTTGAAAACAATTTGTAAACCCTTAGATTTTATTTTCCAAGTTTTATTTTTAATTATTTTGGATATTGAAGAACTGTTATGAAAGTTTTATGTGAACCTTTTTACCAATGTTGAAAAAAAATATATTTCTATAACTATTTACATTATTATTATATATGTATCGGGAATAGTAAGGGTGTCACAGGATAAGCCTGATCCGTAAAATAAATAGACTTATTTTTCAAATCCGTAGACGCCAAAATCCACGAATAAACCGATCAATCTACGAGTCTAAATAATAATTCAAAAATTAATTTTAAAAAATAAAAATAGATAAAATTAGAAGAAAAAATCTTTTTATTTATAAACTAAATTTCATCTCACTAAAGTTTATCAACCGTTAAAATAGTTTAAAATGCTAAATATTAAAATATTAAAATAAAAATAATTACAAAAAAGACTGTAATCTTTCTTCAATGCAATCATATTTGTAATCTTTCCTATCTTTATAAAAAAAACTTCCAATAATAAAAGCATCAAAATATCATAAAAATAATCTAAATGACAAATACATATCAATTAAACATAATTTTAATTAATAATTTAAAAGATTAAATACACAACTTAATATTAAAATCTTAATATCTAAAAATATTAATTAGTTAAATCCGTGGACTAGCCTACAAGCCCGCAAATTAAATCCGTCAAGTCCGCAAACTTCATAAACTAGACTAAAAAATTAAACATAATCATACAGATCTGAAGAAAAACGGGTCCATTATCCGTGAAGATCGCAAGTTTACGGACTAATCCGCGGATCCGGATCCATTTATCCACCCTTAATAGTAATACAAATTCGGAATGATAAAATAATCCATTTTATTATATTCAACCAAGTCATTTGGCAAGTACCATCATAATCGGAGAAAAACGAAAATATTTAAAGTGTTCTTGCAATTTTCCCTTAATGAAGAGCCTATGATCCTACCCCAGTACACATACAAAAGAAATTATGGCTGTTAGGCAGTGAACAAGATCAAATCCTTAGAAGAAATTATATAATAAACAAGATTTTCCCTTCCATTTATCCCCAAGGAAATTCATTTATCTCATTCAAAATTAACAACCAGAGCATTGCAAGAACTGCATGAAAACTTGAGTCAGACCCTTTAAACCATAAAAAATGGTGCCAAACATGTTAGTTATTTAACTAAGATGCTGAATTGGAAGATCCTTGTTTGCTTCAACTAAAAATGGAATTGGCTTTGTTGGTGCAGGCAACCGACCAATGCTATCAACTTTATCCTTTTGTTTTGGAGGAGGTCTAGCTGCTTTAGGCAACAATCTTCCTTTCTTTTCAAACCACTCAGGCTTCAGCAGTGCCCTCAACCCCAACTTATTGTAATATACCCTTCTCACAGACCCACCAGCTGCTTCAACTGCTTCCTTAGCCCTAACAGTAACCCTTGATACCTGTAAAAATCACTCTGTTAAGATACATTCCTGTTTTATACCTTAAGAGTTTAACACTAATGAAGACCAATTTTGCATCTCTTTTCCTTATGGACAAACAAAATCATAATATGAAACATAAATCTCAAACTATGATTTTTTTTTATCCAAAAGTACATGGAGAAGGATCCAAGGTTAAAGAAAGTTAGCATATAAACTTTGAACATACTAGCACGAAACCAACTTTATTTGAAGCAAATTCCAAGTTAGACACCATACATCCCAGATAAAAAAATAATAAAAAAAAGACACCATCCATTGTACCATTCCAATTGCCAAGGTCAAAAACTGGCCGCCCCCAATTGTTATAGCTTATTAGGGTTGTTCGTGAGACAGATTGGGACAAATTTACTTATGTCCCTGCCCAGCGAGAATTTTGTGAAACCCGAATCTAACCTGATGAAGACCTCCAACAACATTTGAGATAAGAACAGGTCAACCCGACTTGGTACAATATATTAATCTTAAAATTATATTCAGTTAAAATTGTTGAATTAAAGTATTAAAGTGTACAAGTACAAATAAGGTGTATTTTATAATATATATTTTAAGATTTATGATATCAATATAAATATAATGTCATGTTAAACAAAACATTACTTATCAAGTTAAGAAGTAGTATTATAAATAAGTAATTGTTTAAAAATTATGCTTTTTCAAAGAATATATAATATTAGACCGAGCTGGGACAACTCCAAATATAACTCGGACCTGTGCTTAAAATATACCGGGTCTAATTTCTTAAATCTAAACCTCAAAAGTTCCACCTGGCTGGGCCAGTTGATAGTAGACTTTCAACCTAACATCTAAGTAATCAGAAACTATTTAGGAAAATAAAGAATAATGATTAATTATGACCGAAGTGAAATATATGAAATTAGATAAACATCAGTTTAAAAAGTGTTAAAAAAGCATTTCCAAAGTTAACTTATGACTAAAGTTATCAATAAAAAAGCATGATTATGATCCTCAAAACACTTATAGCCTTCGAATTAAGTCTACCTCTAGATGAATTGGCCACTTGATCTGCTCAGAACCACGCCCCATCAATCTTACTCCATCTTTCATTTGCTTACCTAGTGCCCCTGCATCCTATGGTAATAATAACGACCAGAAGAATGAGAGGAAGCACATGAAGTAAAAACAATTCCAGAAGAGAGGTAACAGTCATAAAACCTTGAGTGTTTTCATTGTAATCAGTTCAGAAGAATCTATCTTCCCAGCATTAATAAGCTTTGCAATTCTCCCCAAACCTATTGGCTGCAGAAAAGATGCACAAGAAATTTAACAATATATACAATTCAGTGGCTAATAGATTAAGAGTTTCTGACATTATAATATGAACAAAAGGTTTTAAATTAATATCAAACTTGAATAGAGCTACTCAATGGTCATAAATCCAAAGTGAATTCCAATGTTATACCTTACTACATCAACATCAGCAATCACATACAAACAATTAGGATATACTAGAGAAAAATCTCTTGAAAACAATATAATATTTTGAGTGCAAATCATGCTTGGAAAATGTCATATGCAAAGCAGAGGTTCATATAGATTGAAACCAACTACGCTACTCGGCCATATATATTCACAGGAGGTTTCAGAGTCTTAAAAAGAAAATTCATATCAGACAAATTATTTCTTGTAATAAAAAATAAAACGTAATATCTGTATTGACTCATTAATCATAGAACTTAACTCTAGCTGTTGAAGAAGGATGTCAGAGATTGTTACCCTTAATATTTCATTTTTAAATGAGAAAAAATAGAGAAAGAGAAACAAATAACGATGGGAATTGGGAACTCTTTCAATAAGATAACTTCCACAAAGCTCTTGGATCATCCTTGTGATCGTTATATTTAAAAATTACATCAAAATGTAATGATCATGCTCTGAAACGCAACTGCTGTATAACCCCATATATATTAGTAGTTCCAACTATTTGAGACAAAATAAAGCTGGAACTACACAGGAACAGGGCATCCAGTATTCAAGATGGCAATAGTAGTAACTCAGAATGAGATACAACAAATCTAGTTAAATAATTTGGGAACTTACAAAAAGACAAAAAAGCCTCTTTTCATTTTTCCTCCCTTATTCAGCAAAAACAAATATTCTAGCTTATAGGGAAAGAATGCATTTCAAGCAACAAAAATGATCTTGACATAGTAGATTTGGTCCATGAATGTATTTTATATTTGTATCAAGTTCAATAATTTCCCAGGATGCATAGAAAATCTAGTTAGCTTTCATAATAGTCTAGTTTAATACTTCAGAATTGTAACTGTACAATCTTTTTCAACACAACAAAAGAAAGTCTGCATGCACTTATGGCTTTTCTTATGTTTCAATGAATTAAACAAAAAGAAAACTACAAATGAAAACATTACCTGAAAAGTGAGGCTAAAGGGGTTCTTGAAGCCACGTTTCGGTACTCTTCGGCGAAGAGGGGTCTGGCCTCCTTCAAACCCCAATTTGATACCTTTTCTAGCTCTCTGACCCTTGTGACCCCTCCCAGCAGTCTTGCCCTTTCCAGACCCAATTCCACGCCCCTTTCTCGTTGGCTGCTTTCTGGGAACCCTATCTCTTAGATCATTCAAGCTCAGAAGACTATAAGCTCTAAAACCTTCAAAACCCTTGAACGAACTAGGCCTAACTGTTGCATTGGGAGAGTGAGGGAGCTGAAAGGGGTGAAATTGGATACATGGGTATCTGAAAATGGGTTTGCTATAGTTTGAACTTCTGATGATTGATGTTGAGACACCACAAAGCCTTCGTCTAAGCATTTTTTTTTCTACTCTAACCTTTCGCTAACAAAAAAGAAGTGCTAATTTCCAATGGCAGCAACCTTAGGGAAACCAAATTAGAACAAAAAAAAGAGGGTTACAAATCAATCACACTGTGCGAGAAAATCATTACAAATCCAAATTAAACCGAATCACATGCAATCCAAGGTACCAATCAGAATTCTCACAATGTTGTATTAAAAAAAAAAAAAGCAACATAATTAGAAACCAAAATAGAGCAATATGGATCTATAATGAAAAACTTTGAAGTGGAAAACACAAGAAGCATTTTCAAAAATGAGAAACCTGTGATGTATGGTAGCAGGTGGAAGGGACTGAACATGAATACGTAGGTAGTGGTTGCTCGTATTGCAGAGAAGAATGAAGAGTTGATGCAACAGAAGAAGATCACTTGACAGTGTCGATGACAACCACCGAAGATGTGGGTTGCGGCGTGCTTGGTGCACAAATGAGACAACAAAAGATTATTGGGCTCGGCCATAACCTATCTCGTCAATTAATTTTTTTTATATAAATTATATGTAATTTAATGAAATAGTAATTTTATTATTTTAACATAATTTATGTGAATACTTTAGCATATAAAAAATAAAATCAATATTTATTTTATGCAATTATGATAAATAAATACTTTTAAATATTTAAATTAGAGTTTAACTAGCTTGCATCTGGGTTTAAATTATATATATATATATATATATAATTTCATGTAATTTGAATTGTTT